CCTAACCCTAACCCTAACCCTAACCATATCCCTAACCATATCAGCTAGATAGTTACCAGGGTACGTTCCGGCAGTACCCTGGGGGACATAGACCCTATGAGCGTTACTAGAGCTAGATCGTTCATGGACATGTTGCCATTGTATTGCATTGCATTGCATTGGTGGCCACTAACATGTACAGATATGACTGTACATTCATCGAGGTATTCATTTACAGACAGGAAGCAAAGAAGAGAGATGTACTCTTGCTTTTTTGGCTATTCTTACACAGGCTATCTTAGGATTTTGCTACTCTTCTTTGCCTGGCGATATGTCCACAACTACCCTGTGGCGTTTATTGCCATCTACTCTTTGCAAGTCATCCTTGATTGTAAGTCTGGATCTTGATCATTTTTAGTACTTGGTCACATGCACTTTCTCATTGAGTTGAGGTTTCATGCTATCACTGCAGTCTTTAAGCATCACACCAAGCAGAGTTATTTACTCGCACTGGGGGGCGGTCACTACCAGTGTAGTTTACATCCCGATTCTCATCAGTGCTTTTTGTCACCACGTACATGCAAGAAAAGATTCAAATTACACAGCCTTACAAAAGCTATTGTATTGATCCTGCTTATCAATGGTTTTAATTTAATCATGTAGCCAAACATATCTGTAGTTTACTATATTCATTTGAAGCAATAATGTTTTTAGGGGCTGATGGCTGGGCAGCGAGGAAGTTTAACCAAGCCACCACATTTGGAGCATGGGTAACCAACTTTATTGTAGTGCGAGCATAAGTTTCATGCTCTTGTGCATGCCTCTGCGTGCGTGTGGATAATAACAAATATCTGGGAGTAGATGCAACTATACAAGACAATCGCAAGGCATCTAAGTATTAAGTTTCATATCCGGATGAAGCCATATTCACATAAATGCAAAGGCTAATTGGCTCAATAGCTGCATTGTATAATTTATCTACTGCTAATTCTACTAAGTATTTCCTACTGATGTATTACTCACGTGCAAATCTTGGTGACTGTTTGTCTTTTCTGGACATTTCCTTGCAGTTTGATGTTGTTATTGACAACGTAGGAAGAGGGCTGCTGTGGTGTCACATACACAAGGTAAACATTTCATGTTTTTGCCCTATCCAGACTTTGAATATTTTGTTTCCTCTTTCACTTGTAGTTGTAGTGCATATATACAGGTATTCATTTACTATACACAATATTCGTTGTGTTGATAAAATACGAAAGACATATTATATATATAATTGCAAGATTAACATGGTTTGCTGTGAGAAACCAGCTGTAACCATCTATACTTATCAGTAGCCAAGTAATTGCTTGTCAGTATAAAGCAAGGTGGGATTATATTTTACTATTGTTTCTGATCTGACACAAAAACATAAGCAAAAAGACCTATATATGTGTGTATATTTACTACAGTTACTACACATTGTATTACATGGAAAAATAGTACTACACTTGTTATACATTGTATCTTATGTAGTTAATTTATTCTATCATCACAGAATGCTGCAAATTGGTAAGTGTATTCCTTGAATATTTGTAGATGGGATACCTTGTCAGTGCTCTGGAATGGTTAACATTCGTCTGTACACATCAAGCTGGCCGAAATTGGAGACAATCTATGACCAAAGCACCCTGGCTAGTCAGAAAGACCATGGCTGATGGTATGCAGTCTTGCTTAATACATTCACGTACACCTGGATGTAATCAATTAGACTCGTTTCCCATACGTTGAGTGTGCATTCTTTATATGTGAAACCGTATATGCATATATATATATATGTGCACGTTTGTGTGCGGGAGTGCGTGTAAATATACACAATTATGTCTTGAAGCAGTCTTGCGTGCAAGACTTGCCCTCATCACAGCATGGCACCAAAGACCATCTCCCCTTCTGCCTTCCACTCCAGGCTTCAAGACGCCCCTCGGCATTCTTGTGATAGCCGGACTGCATGCGCTGCCCATCTGTGTGTATGCGGTCACGACGGGCGTTCTACCGCAGGCTTCGTTCGACGCTGGCATAACGCTAGTCCTTGCCACCATCCTCGTCGTCGGTAGAACGCTGTGTGCGGTGGTCGAGGTAGGTAGAAACGTCGTAATTACTGCTTGCAAGGCAGGCGATATATCTAGCTTAGCTTATCCTCTTGGTCCCTCGATGGGACATGAGGCCGTAGGCGATACATCTGGGAGCAAAATCGCCGCAAAATCGCCGTGCCTCCCTTGTTTTCTCCTGCATTCTGTTTCCCACTGCACAATTGTGTTATGATTAACCTAAAGAAAATGTTACATTAGTTGCCTGCTCTGTTTATTGTTTATCATTTTGTACATGATATCAGGGGTAAATAATGATAAATTTGTCAAATAATGACAAATTTGTCATTATTAACCCTTGATGAGATGTAGACTTGCATGATCTGTTTGTAATCTTGCTTGTCCATTGCAGTTGTGGTGTATTGGAGCTCACGCGCATCTCTTGCTTAAGGAAGACTAGCATAGGTAGGTGTGTGTGGACACTTCTGCTTCTCTGTATGCATGGTCACTGAAGCAGGGCTACTGCAACATGGACAACAAGAAGCTTGAAATCATGGAAGAGCAAGATAATGGTGTATCTAATAGTGATGATTTGTAATTAGGGATAATTTGTATTTTACTCTTGTGATAACTGCTGGTGAATGTTCTTATCTCTATTTTATCCACACGGCAGTTAGGGTTGAAAACCAATTAAGTGAATTGTGCGTCTGATAGGTGAAGAATGGGAATATAGCACTATACAGTTCTACAAGAGAAGAGCACACTAATTTATCAGTAAAGTGATGAATAGAAGGGAGAATTAAGGTTCTTATAGCTACTGTTCAATCATACCAGTATTATCCGTCCTTTGTTTCTACTTACCTCACATTTTTATGAACAAATGTGTAACTTTTTATGGCCCACACTATTATGCATTCAAATAATTATACATTGAATTAATTGTACATTGCATTTCATATCCACGTTTATAATGATTAGTAATAAATTTTCCATCTGAGCTTGTATTTGCATTTGAATGCATATGGGCACGTTTGTAAATTTGGTGTAATAATTATTTTTTAACATCACTAGTGAGTGCAGGTGGGTGCATAGGAGTGTAACACATCAACAAACTGTAATCATGGTCCAGAATATCACTGGTTAGCAGTGGTTGCAGGGTTTCTTTTAATAGTTTTGACATTTTATATATTGTTAGTGTTATTTTATACTGTGCTGAATGCGAGGACTTAACAATAAAAATGTGTAAGCAAATTTCAATTTGTGTGAATACGTAGTGTGGAACTCAGAACTAGGAATCTTTATTGGTGCTCTCAACTGCATCAAAACGGTTAACGACGGACAAAACCGGACCGGACTGTAATAAATATCTACTATAAATACTATGGTATGTGTGAATTATCTGCTGAGCATACTGAAAAAGAGATGTATCCCCAAGAGTGAGCACTTCTGATGATATGATATATACATGCTCTGCCCAAGGATATATTTCATGAGATTTTCTTGCTACAGGTGGCGCGCATGTCCTAGAAATGGTCAATGCTGATGTAAACTTGTAAATGGTAAATCTAAGCATTTTATCGAGAAAATTCGGAACGCTTAAGTAATACCATTATATGTGATTCATTTCTTTATATTTATAATGATCTGTTAGAAACACAATACGTAATCATATGTTTGCTTCGTCTATCGATCCGAGTGTAATAAGAATTTCCGCGATAACGCCGCGGCTTCCGGTACCTAAACACAAGTGCACACGTTTGCGTTTTTGCAATGTGTACACGTTTGTAGTCTACCCCTTCTGTAACATTATTATTGAAAGTAAATTAACAAGATCTGTTAGATTTTTCAGTGGAACTTGTAGTTATTACACACAGAAAGCGTTTTATGGTTGCTATATATATACCCTGGAATTTGCTAATGCTTTATACGGGTTTGGTACCACGTTAACGCAAATCTGCTGAAGAATCAACCGGTACCGGCCAATTTCCATTTTTATTTTATGCTGGTTTTCTATATCTACCACTGCTAGCATATAATACTTCGGCAAAGACATTTGTGCGAAATGGGTAAGAAAATTTTATAGTGTTTAGTTAACTACCCAGCCCGCGGCAGGCAGAGTGTCGTACGTCTCCACCTTTAAAAATTACATCCTGATCATGATTAACACTACACACATATACTGATAGTGACTGATAGTGATAGTGATATAGATCATTTGATGGGTGACACATTAATAATATTATTATTAATTACAGTGTAGCCCCATTACAACGCGATGGTTGGGGTCCATAAAATGTCATCGCGAAAAAAGCATGTCACACTAGATCGGTGTTATATACGTGGCTATATAAAAGCGAAAAAAAGGGGGTCTAACGACTCATCACGTTATATCTGATTTCGCGTTAAATCGGGGCACGTAAAATCGTGGTTCCACTAATTATACAAAATGAATGTTGATGATAAGAAAATGTTGCCTTTCCTTGCTGATGTTTGGAAATTTCCATCAGTATCCCGTCAGCACGAGGAAAATTAGATCAAATTTTAGCTGGAATTTCAATATCTGCTAAACCTGAAAAAAATCTCAGAAGTGTAAACGATGATTAGATTCTACTAGGATTATAGTTATATTACCATCCGATCTACCACTACTACTACAACAATTACTAAAACTAGTACTAGTAGTTGTATATACTAGTGCAGTCTGCACGAAAAACTTTCACCCTCATTGGCCTAGCGGGCCTGTGAAATGTATAATTCACTGGCCCACACTAGGTGTTACAGGCCCGAAACAATGATCCTCATATTATGAAAAGAGAAACAGAACACTTTGGTGTATTCTTAGAGATTTATTCTTTCATGAAATTGAACAAAAAATTATCCACTTCCCTCTCCCCCATCTCATTGTCACTGCCATCGTACTCATCATCATCACGCTCATTTATAATCAGAAAGCTTATTTCGACTTCGAACAGTAACTTAGCCAACACGGTCAAGGCCACGTTGAAAACCAGAACCGGAAACCAGAAGTTGTTGCGACCTCTAGCGGCGACAAACACGCATGGTGTTGACTATAGTTACTTCCCCTACTTAAGATCGGAAATATGATGCCCTATCGGTAAATATCGGTAAATTTTCATACAAAATATCGGGAATTTAGGTAAATTCTCAGACTGATCATCACATAAAGAAGCTGAAATATTATTAATAGACCATTTACTCCATTTTTTTCACTGGCCCATCGGGCTTGTTCATTTACCAGTTTCATTGGCCCCACGGAAAATTTACTGGCCTCGGATACCGGGCCAGTGGTTAATTTCGCAGACTGCTAGTGGTAGTGGCAGCATGAGTAGCAGTAGTAGCAGTTAGTGATGTCACGATCATCGATTAAACTCGATCATCGGTTAAACAGTGGCTCGAACCAAGCGCTTGGTTATCAAAATCCATAATCGATTTCATCGAAAAAAAAAAAAAATATATAAATCGAAATAAATGTAAAACTTGAACAAGAAAAGTGATGAGAATCAGAGATATCATTGCTACTATAGAAGTTATCCTTTATTAACATACATGTATTATACACACAGTAGTAAACAGTGCAAAACAAACAGTAAACAGGGCTAAACAAGCACATACATGCACACACGTACATGCACACGACGTTACGCACACGCAGGCATTCAACACCCTGAGTAACCGATTGTAACCGATCATCGGTTACTTGGGTCCAACCGATGATCGATTACGAAATTACAACCGATTGACAACACTAGTAGCAGTACAGTTTTGTTCACATCTTGAGTAACTCGCCTAAAGTGCATGGTTCGGGTGAGGGTAAATTCGGGTATGTAATTCTCTCTCGCCCTGTAATGACCGGTGATTAGTTAGGTAATATTTATAAATATCACGATAGCTGCTTTATTACTACACGTCATGAATTGCAATGTTACGTTTATGGTGGGTAGTGCTGTCCGAGCATTTAGCTTACCTTATTGTGACGTTACTGCTTCGATTACGTGTCAACATGGGCAATAATCTTATTCAATTGCAGGCGCTTTCTTCAGTATTTTCAAAAACCTGTTTGGTAGCCGGGAAATGAGAATATTAATCCTTGGCCTTGATGGTGCTGGAAAGACGACGATACTCTACAGGTTACAAGTAGGCGAGGTCGTCACGACAATTCCAAGTAAGTCTCATTGTGCGACATGGGGAAATTTGGAACGAGCAAACTTGAAAGGAAATTGCTCTTATGAAAATTGGGAAGTATAGCATGGGAAGGTTTTTGCTAGGTTATGCAGAGGTGGTCGATTGAATAGTGATTGAATCTTATTGGCTGATTCTCATCGCAGATCCTGTGTTGAAATTCATGATACATAAACTTCAAAATTAGGTCACGTTGAAATGCTGCACTGCCCAGTTACTTTATCTGTCTTTAATTTTTACAGCGATTGGATTCAACGTAGAACAAGTTACCTACAACAATCTAAAATTCCAGGTGTGGGACTTGGGCGGCCAGACAAGTATAAGGTATGGCCGCATCAAATCTTCCTTGGCAATATGAAGAAACAGATTGGCTTTCACTCTTGTCACTAAACTCATTTGCTCTGTCCGGATACTCCTGAACTCAAGAAACTTGTGTTCGTGTGTAAATTTGGCAAATTTTATTTATGAAAAATAAAATCAAACAAACAAGTGTTGTTTACTGTGTCTTTCAGACCCTACTGGAGATGTTACTATTCCAATACGGACGCTATCATCTATGTAGTTGATTCCGCAGACAGGGACCGAATGGGCATCTCAAAGCAAGAGTTGGTCGCCATGTTAGAGGTAGGAGCATTTCGTATCAATCTAGTGCTCGCCTCGCTTGCCACAATTTTGTTGAGTACACGTGAATAAAAGCCGAGGAGAGGGAGGAGAGAAAGAGAGGGGGAGAGGAGAAAGAGAGAGAGAGAGAGAAATGTTTGCTTGTTTGTGAGCCATTCAAGCACCTCATGTTAGACGTTCGCTTGTCTGAGATTTAAACATCTCGTATTTGACGTTCGCTTGTCTGTGATTTAAGCATCTCGTGTACATGGTGTTCACTTGTCTGTGATTTAAACATCTCGTGTATGGCGTTCACTTGTCTGTGATTTAAGCATCTCGTGTACATGGTGTTCACTTGTCTGTGATTTAAACATCTCGTGTATGGCGTTCACTTGTCTGCAACAGATTCTATCATCTCGCGTTTGACGTTCACTTGTCTCCCGTTGCAGGAGGACGAACTGAAGAGCGCGAAGCTGCTAGTGCTCGCGAACAAACAGGACGTCGACGGCTGCATGAAGGTCACGGAGGTCGCCGACGCTCTCGGGCTCAACATGCTGAAGACGCGGACGTACCAGATCTACAAGACATCTGCGATAAAGGGGGAAGGTCTCACAGAGGCGATGGACTGGTGAGTTGGGAGGGCCGGCATATAGATATGTAGATGTAGGTGTAGGTGTAGATGTAGTTGGGGTGTGGATGTGGATATGGATGGGGGTGTGGGTGTGGTTGTGGGTGTGGATGTAGATGTAGGTGTAGATGTGGATGTAGATGTAGGTGTAGATGTGGATGTAGATGGGGATGTAGATGTAGATGTAGTTGGGGTGTGGATGTGGATATGGATGGGGGTGGGGGTGTGGGTGTGGGTGTGGTTGTGGGTGTGGATGTAGATGTAGGTGGAGGTGTAGATGTAGATGTAGATGGGGGTGTGGATGTGGATGTAGATGTAGATGTAGTTGGGGTGTGGATGTGGATATGGATGGGGTGGGGGTGTGGTTGTGGGTGTGGGTGTGGATGTAGAGGTAGATGTAGGTGTAGGTGTAGATGTAGATGCCGGGGGTGTGGATGTGGATGTAGATGTAGATGTAGGGGTAGAGGTACATTTACAAAGAGATATACATATATAATTGGATACAGACATAGACACAGACATTATTGTGATGACATATAATAAGTGAGTCTGTATGAAAAGGTAAATATTAGTTTTCATCTGTTTCAGGTTGGCAAATGCTTTACAGAACAAACAGTAGCAACGTAATCACCTTGAATGTTCTGCGTCCATTCTCTTCATAACAGTTTTGAAATGTCGGCAACAGGTAGAGCCACCATGTAGCTGGGCGCGGTGTTGATTAACTTTCTCGAGTGAGTGATCTCCGATGGTGTATTTTAACATGTGCTGCTGCAGTCTGCAGTGTGATTCCAGCAGCCGGTGGCAGTCTCAAGTCACTCGTTGCAGATGGCCTGAATAGTTTGTTGCAGATTTTACTATGATTATTTTTGATGATTATATCAAGTGGAACAGAAAGCATGGGATCAACAACGAGTAAAAGAGGAGATAGAGTGTGTCTGAGAGAAAAATGTTCGAGATGAGAGGGAGGGTGAGTGAGAGTGAGATAGAGAGAGAGAGAGAGAGTGAATGTGAGAGAGGAGTGAGAGAGAGAGAGGAGGGGAGAAGAGAGAGAGAGAGAGAGCAGAGAGAGAGAGAGAGAGAGAGAGAGAGAGAGAGTGGGAAGGGAAAGAGAAAGCACGAGTGACACCAAGAGTAAGGGCTCTTGTTGACGAAGTGCACAACGGCTACCTTCAGCATATCGTATTTATTCCTTCCTATTCATCTGAGATCCCCTCACAGACATCTGAGACTGTCACTCCATCAGGACATCCGTGGATTCAGTGCGATATCGAAAGCCAAACAACAAATCGTGCGTGTAGCATACTCGCGGGCTGTATGCGTGCGTTAAGCTGGGTTACACTACCCGGACTTTATGTGGGAATTGGCGAATTGGACAAATTCCAACTAGTACAACCGACAATCGGCAGTGTAATACACGAAAGCCCAACGAGCAACTCGCCGCATAAGCAACCTAGTTGCGAGATGAGAACATTTCTATTTGCCAACTGCGATGTTGCGAATTGCGATAAATGGTCCAACTCGCCAATCGCAACATAAAGTCGTAAGTTAGTAAACCCAGCACATGTCATACGATGATGGCAGCCCGAGTCGTCTCCCTGCATGCTAGCGAGGCGTAATGTCAAGCGTGCTGCGGTGTATGGCGAGCCGTGAGGCGTAGCGCCGCGAGGCGTGGCATCGAGTCGCAGAGGAGGGGTCTGTTGGCCATAGTTCTTCCATCGCTGGCATCTCGTGTGTGTCGTGTGTGTGTGTGTGGGTGGGGCAGAGATTTCGCTGAATCGGCAAACCAGTGCCACGATGTGGGTCTCTACGTTAGTCTGTGCGTGCATGCGTGCGTGTGTGTGTGTATAGCTGTGGGCGGGGTGAGGGTTGTGTGTGCGTGCGTCCCATGCGTGCACGTGTGTGTGTGTGTGTAAGGGGAGGGGCAGGCGAGCCGTTCGCACGATGTATTGGCCAACAGGAACTCTGCGTAGCCTGGGTGGGGGCGTCAGTTGCATCGCATTCATTCCCCGTGCTTTGTCTACGTACGTGCGTGCGTGCGTGCCTACGAGTTTGTCTTTTATCATTTGTGCGTGTCTCAATGTGCCAGAAGGCACAGTTTGCGAATCATTTTGGAGTGGTGGCTAATAGATCGTGTGTGATGGGAATATAACGTAATTTCAGAGTTAAGATATAATTTAATTGACTGATGCGTGCAGCCGCCACGGCTGCTACACGTTACGTTGCTGACTGTAAATATTCCTCAATAAATGTATGTCCATTTTCACGTTAAGAAAACAACCTTTATGTCTGCCGTAGTATGTCAACCTTTCGTCAAACGTAGTAGACGAAGTGAATTCGTCGGTGCGCTAACATGGTGCAAGTCGTCTGTGCTTTATCTTAGTAGAAGACGAATGAAATGAAAGCAGAAGAAGAAGACAGTAAATACTCGATCGAACTACGGCTTTATGCTTTAATATATAATATAATATATATTAATATTATATACTATATATATATATTATATAATAATAATAATATATATATACATAAAACGCACTTATGAAGCGATATACATGCTAATTCCCTTCGGCCGCCTCAGGCCTTCACTTGTTCACTGGTCTGTGGCGAAAGCCGTTTCATTGTCAACGATGGTAACCTGCCAAGCTCACTGCTCGTATGCTCAAAATGAGCTACTATGGAGTATATGGGATCAAATGTAATAGGCCTACTTATTCACACGAGTTTACTTCGCGTAGCTATGTACGTACACATACACATACAATCAGGTGGTGAATAATGACAATGAATGAATGAATAATGACAATGGGTGGATGAATAATGACAATGATGAATGAATCATGAACAATGATCAATGAATGAATAATGACAATGATCAATGAATTTGTCATTATTCACCCCGGATATAATCAGGATAGCATAATACCGATACATATCGCGATGTCATATGCACTCGTACTATGACATACATCAGATCTGGGCCATGTTCTTCACACAATCTGCATGGCCCCTACAGACCCGACAAGGAGCCGTCATTTTAATAATAGGCCTTCTCGAAAACTACACAGTGCCGTGTGTTTAAAAATATAATATATAGATATATGCACGTACCGCTTATAGTTCGAAATAGAATAGAAATTCATTTAATCTTATAGCTAGTGGTAACCACAACTATGGTTACCGGCACAAGCAGCCGGGTGCTAATCGCGCATGCGCACGAGTCGTTGAATAGCGCGAGCAGTATTGTTTCTCTCGACCCCAATAACAGGCACTATCAGCCGTAATAATATACACTTAATATTTACTTAATATTCTTACTACGTGTGAAATCAAACACGCGTAAATATATACCGAGTTATTATGAGAACTTTAATAACTTGCGAGTACTTCCAGTATGCGTACGTGTGTGTTTACGCGTCTATAATAATAACAACAAATCAATGAATAGCAAACGCTTTCAGATTGATAACTAAACTAGAGACAGATGTCTAATTTAAATTACACTAAAGACTTACCTAACGGGACACATTAAATATTGACTAGTAATTATATAAGAATAAGCAGGAGTATTGTGATACAGATATACACGTCGGAAAAATCCCACGTTTAAGCTAATACACGAATTATACAAATAAACATAATACAACATTGGAGTAAAATATAGGATTCCTAATACTTATAAACCTAAACTATACATTTTCGCTTGGATTTTGATTGATAACATTTACAATACGCATGTATGTAGGGCCTCCCGCTTTAATTTCAATCCTTCTGACGTCACCATCGTACGATAGCAGCTACAGAGGGTCAACTGACTGCTTCTGTCATATATATTATGTACACGCACGATAAGGCGCCATGATTGAGTCAATGACATGTGATTTATAATACACCGCACCCACTTGTACCGTGCAATCTTGTTTGTTGTTCGTCGCTCGACGTCGTAGTCGTCGTCGTTGTCGTCGTAGTCGTCGTCGTTGTCGTCGTCCTCGTCGTCGCTGTCGTTACATTCTTCTTATGGCTCATCTTCTTCTTCTTCTGCTATTTTTTATTTATTTTACCCTTCTGCTTCTTCCTTTTCTTCTTCTTATTTCCCTTATTATTATTCTCCTCGCTCTCCCAATCCTCCTTCCGCCACTTATCAGTTCCTTGACCACCGGTCAGTTAAAATGGCAGTCGCACTGACTCACCGATAACTTCTTTAATAAAAAAACGGTCAACATCCGTACACGCACGCTATAACCAGCCACACGAGAACGCAATACGCCGCCACGGGTGGCGCTACCGGCGTCACCCTGCGTCCGCAGTTGCGACCTCTGGCGGTGGCGTGCGTGTCGCCGCAGCAAGTCTCCTTGTAGCGTCTGACGAAGACTTGGACGAGGCGACCAGCGGCGCTGGAGCGCGGTACGTAGCGGCAATCGCTCCCCATCCTCTCCTTTAGACATTGCACGAGAAGAGGCTGCGTCCTACGGCGCCGAAAGAAAAGAACCGAAGAAGCTAGGCGTAAGTACCAAGCAAACCCGTCGATTCAGAGTATAGGCACGTGATTTGTATCAACCAATGGCAGCGCTCGTTAGAGCCTTATGTTCTTGATTGACCTAGGAAAAAAAATCACGCGTGCAAGCAGGGTAACTTGGCGTTTTGCCAAGACGAGCCCGGTGGAAGCAACGAATCGGGATGCACCGCCGACTCGGTTAGTGCAGAACTGTTACTCCCAATTTCCAAGTAAGAGTGAATATTATTGTGGTCGTATAAATAGACGTATAATTCAATGAATTACTAAATAAATGAATTAATAAAATATATTGTGGTATGAAAGAAGGCAAACGTGCTTGCACCCACACGCACGCATGCACGCATACGCGCCTGCGCGCTCACACGCAGGCATATGCGCGCGCACGCATCCATCCATGCACGCGCTAGCACACGCACGCGCACGCACACATGTATTGACGTACCTGCAGACGACGGAGCGATCTCTCTGCATGAGAACGATGCACGGCTGCAATCGCTCGTCGCAAACCGCTGACATCATCTCCCGCACGTCGTCGTCAACGTCATCGTCGTATTCGCCGCCATCGTCATCGTCATCGTCATCGTCATCGTCGTCGCCGTAAGTCGTCGTACCTCCGTCGGCTGTCGTCGTCGATACGCCGTTCGGAACCGACGACGGTGTGTGCGTCTGCGCCGCAATGTCTATCGTCGACGCCGACGGACGCAACTTAGCTGACGTCGTCGTCGCCGTCGGCGTCGTCGCTGCCGTCGTCGTCCTCGGCGAGTTCGCGTTGTCTGCCGTCGTTTGCAGCAGCGACGGCGGCGACGACGGCGACGACGTCATATCCTGTGAGTTGACGCCAGACGGCGCTCGCAGCGCGGAGTCAAGCATGCTCTGCTGGGCGTCGCCACAGATCGGCGACAGGTGGCGCGTCAGGATCTGCACGCGCGCGAAGATGCGACGCGGTCCCGAGCCGATGACGTCATCCCAAGGGCACACCCTGATTAGCTGTAGGACGCATGTGACCATGTCGCCGTACGTTCTGCGAAAAGTTGTGTTATTGGTTATTTTATTAATTTTGTTGGTTAATCGGCGAATACACTTGAGAATGATTAAAAATCGAGAACTCGAATTTTTTTTCAAAGTAATGATAGTTATGATGAAGAAGGGATCTTACCGAAACAGGGAAAACTCCCTGTATGAACGCCATGCAGGATCGTAACACGACAGCAACAAACGTTTTAATTGCAGCGAACAAATTATTATCTCTGTACTAATTAGCCTTGACAATTTATCCTAAACAGTTGTCAGAAAAATCATAACTTTAACATGAATAATATCGCAATAATAATACAAAAGTTTGATCTTGAGACCTGCGCAAACCTACACCAGTGCCATCTATCGTCTACCGGTCTGTCTCGCTTACCCACCTGCACAGCTGCCGCTTGGCGGGCGAATCGTCGGTGA